GCCTTCCATGGTCGAGGAAAAGAGAAGGACAGGGAATAAAACTCATTGAAGCCCTCAAACTTATCCCATTTGGGGCAAAAACCCCTGAAGAAAACATTGAGCATACAAGGCTACAAGCCTCTAAACCGGCCAATTTGAGCAAATTAAACCCTTACCTAACGACATCCGGCATTTACCGTCAAATAAGACTAACTGCGTTTATGTTCAGCTTGCTCAAATTCCAATTTAGTTGTTACGTTTAGTCAAATTTAAAATAAAATAAGTACCTAAACTTTCTGGATTTTATTCTATGAATTTCTTAATTTTCAATTTAAGTTGTAAAATAAGAACAATTTAAAAGGTGTATAGTGATTACTATTAGGGATTCTCTTTATTCAATAATTTATTTTGTTAATTTAAATTGTATAATATTTTTTAACATCAAATTATTAAAAATATATAAAAATAATAACAACCATATTGATGAACCTCAATCCATTAACTAATAGACATCATCCTTCATCTTTGATTGTAATTATGATCGTTCACTATTTTGTTAAAGTTAGTTAAAAATTATTTAATTTGATCAATACTTTATTTATTTATAATTTTTTTCTTAACTAATTGATTGTAATATTTAAAAATATCAATTTGTAAATTAATTTTAATTTATTAAATAATAAATATTAATTATTTTATTAATTATGAATTATTTTTAACAATTAAATTAAGTAAAAGTGAATAACAATTAACAAAATAGGGTGGCAACCATAAAGGCACCATTTATCTTCATATTGCGGTAACTAAAATTATTGTGTGTCCTTAATTTTTTTAAGTATCTAAACTTAAAATTCTTAAAATTTTTTAATCCTTTGAACTTTAAGAATCCAAAAAAAAAAAAAAAAAAACCGAAATTAGTGCCACCCACCACCAATGAAATCATTAAGCTTCAATTCCCCATCTAACCATGTTTTCTTCATTATTGCTTCCCCTCCTTAAATATCCAAACACTATTTCCCACAAAATCCCTAAAATTTCACCATCCTAACCCTACAACCACCTTTAACCATTACCTCGGCCACCTCTAATCCCAACCAAAATCCCCACGTCACTGCCTTTTCACCTCCATTAAAAATCCCCAACTACCTTTGCTTTTTTTCCTTTTTTGTGTGGAAAATTCAGCACCTTTTTGTGGCAGCACCAAGATCAAGGACAGGTTTGTGTTTCTTTACCAGCATTCTTTATTTGATTTCTTATTTTTATTTTCGTTAATTAGAGAAAAAAAATCAAGATAACTTTCGTATTAAAAATA